ATTCTCCCTGCCTACTCCACTCTCCACGTCTGTAGGCATGGATACTCTTCAGCACCATGGGGAGGGCTGAGCCTGTATAAAGGACCCAACAACTGACCACGCTGCGGCCCTGTCTATCCACCTATCCCCCAATGATGTCTCCAAGGTGGCTGTCACCAACAGGATCAAGAGACCTGGATTCAGGCTCAGGAGTCCATGCTTTGAGGATGACACGCTGTTACCAACTCACTGACTTGGGTCCTTTTGCTCTAAGGGTAGAAATGGACAGAAATTGAGAGCAATCAAGAAGCTGCCTCTTCAAGGGCTGAGCTGTTGAATCATTCCACATTTGACAGCAGGGAGCTGCGTGAACTGTGGCGCCCTCTAGTGTTTGCTCTTGGTAAGGCCTCGGGAAGCTGCGATTCCTTAGTCTTGCAGCTTCTGGGTGGGAGTCCAGGACTCCTCCACCTTTGACAACAGCCCGATATAGCTCCTCGGCCTGGGGTGTCTGAAATCCTTGGCCTAAGGCCTGTCGGCTTTCTGGAACTCCTCCTTCAGTCTCTCATCCAGCTCCTTCCAGCCTCCTGTCCTTCAGCCTCTGCTTCCTGCCCTCTGCTTCACTGGTCTCCCACTGTTTCCTCACGCGGCCTCACGCTGTCTGTCACCCATGCTGCCCTTTGAGAGACAGCTACTGCTAGACGCCTCCTCCTCTTTGGATGATTAGCTGCAGGTCTGGCCACACCCCTCTTGACAGCTAGAGAGTTGTGGGCCCCTCTGCTTCTGCAGCTCAGGCCACCACTCAACACTAAGGCGAACAACACAGGACTCATCTTTCAGCCACTTTATTGAGTGGGACACCCTGCTTATGTAGCGCAAGAAAGTGTGGTTTGTACCAATCATAGCACACCTCCCATGCAAATTTTCTCTTTTCTTTTATAATTTTGTTTATTTTTTTTTATTTTTTTTTTTGTGATATATATTTTTTATTTTACAATACCATTCAGTTCTACATATCAGCCATGGGTTCCCCTATTCTCCCCCCTCCCACGCCCTCCCCTTACCCCCAGCCCACCCTCCATTCCCATCTCCTCCAGGACAAGTCCTCCCCCGAGGACTGTGATCG